CCAAAGGTAGGCACGCCCAGGCACTACCTTGGTTTGCAACAAATTCAAAGAAAAGGCCCTGTAGAGTGAGCGTAGAACAGTAGCATGCTCTCTGTACATGCTTTATTGGCCAGCAGGTTCTCTTGTTGCCTGGCCACCAGGAAGACTCCCATTTCCACCCATAAGGAAGGCGCATAGTGCGAGTGCATACTGATATGTTGAGTTACAAGCAGAAAAAGTGATCCTATTTGGGAACAAGCACGCCCAGAAGGGGGAGGGGGGGGGAGGAAGCTGCGGTAACTTGCCCCAAGCCCTGATTTAACCGGGGCCTCAAATTCTTTTTAATTCAAAAGAAATAAAAATTATTTATCTCTAATCCAAAATTAACACTATAATTTATTTTCTAATACATGTGAATTATATTTATGAATTGGGAAGGAGGGAATATTTTGTTTGAAATAAAGGGCCGACGGTAGAACTGCCCCAGGCCTCTTGTTTTCTCGGGAACTTTTGTTAAGGAAGTATTTATTTTTTCATTTTAAGTACACTGCGAATAATTAGTGTTACTTGATTGTTTTATATTAAAACAGATTTAGCGTTAATATTATGAAAGATACAGTGAGCAAACTATTACTTACACCATTTCTCGTCTTAACGTTTCAAGAAAATTCAATTCTTCCTGGGATTCACACAAATGGCTAATAGGAGGTGAAGTTAAAGCTAAGCTTTATTGTTGGCCTAGTCTTTTATTGTCAATTAAGAAGAGTACTTGGAATAGAGATGGATATTTTGGCATGGAAATTTTATGAAAAGCTACACAAAAAAATGAAATGTCAAAAGATTACATATTTAATTCAGTGGATCTGAAGAAAAAAAAATTAATCCAATTTCTGAATAGTTGTCAGAACAATACAAACTTGCAAATATGAATATCTTTAAATTACATCTGCTCATGCTTCATGAAAATAATGCTTGGAATTTAATGATATCAGTGAGACAATTTTTTCGAATAAATTTAACAAAATTTCAAAGCTAATCAGAGGTGCTAAAACAGTACGTCCTTTCTGGCCTTTGATACTAATTATGTAATACTAGTTATGTAAATACATTTTTTTTTTAAATAAATTATAAAAATGAATGAATGTTTAACCGTTTGAAATTGTATTCTTTTTCCTTTACATGAAGCCCCTGGGACATTTTCAAAAAAAAACAACAAAAATGCTCCAACCTTCTTCATTTACATTTTGTTCATTGATAGTATGCAGGGCATTTATACGAATGTTGCAGGTCTCATTTTCGTTTAAAACCGTAATTTTTCGAAAGTTGCAAGCATACGAACTAAACTAACTAAAATTCTGACGAACATTTTCTACACTCTAATTTCTACCCAGCAAAATTTATATTTTTATTATTATTTATTATAAGCCTATGCTCTCTATATTTTTATTATATCCATCATATTTCAGCTTTCCTGAAAACCTGGTTAATATCAAAGGTAAGATTTTCTAGTAGTGAAGATCTCTCAAGAAGTGAAGAACTCTTTAAGAACTTCAAAATCAAAATCAGTTGTTTCCGGGCTTGAAGGAAATCGAAAGGGGAAAGGAAATCGAAAGGAAATCGAAGGAGCTCGAAATCTTTAAGAACTTATCGTCCGATTTTAAATTAAGTGTGCTAAGCATACAGTGTTAAAGACTAGTGTTTCTGTTCCAATCCTTCAAAAAACGCGCGAACTGCCTGCTGCCTTCAGGCCAACTATGGTTTGTTATTTTGCAGAGGAGTTTATAGTTTACAATTTCTCAATATTTAAGAATTAATTCCAGGAAGTGCATTGTACTCAGAATACTGTAAATATATAATAATTTTGTAGTATACATCTTGTACTGCAACAATAAAATGTCAATTGCAGTAAATTAGAAATTCACAGTCATACAAATTTCTGAACAATAACTATTGTAATGCATTGCAACCATATGTATTAACATTTTAAAATATAACATGATATCAAAAATATATCTAACACAAAGAGAATCTCCTTTTAAATCGACTGATTTTTCAAACAAATCGTCAGACAATAAAGCCCTATTTAGTGAATGTATAAAACCTGCAAAGAAAACAGTCCTTTAACTGGCATGGATGGACATGTGAATGTACTTAAAATAGGTATTTCATATAAAAGTATTTAAATACTGCCCAACCCTGCTCATTACAAATAGTTCAATTTTTGATGGAAAAACTAAATATTTTCAAGTAAATATTATCACAGATTTGACAATTTTAACTACTTTTCATACAAGTAACTCATGTCCCAATAATACAACGAAATTCACAAAAGTGAGCTCCTGAGTCATTGTAGCATTCAAATCTGATATTTCCTAAAAGCTAGCAGTATTTCAAATAAGTTTTAAATAATTTCTAGAAGATTAAAGTGTAAATCTATAACAAAAGGCTGAATGTAAAAAAACAAACAAAGAAATATGAAATAATATACAAATTCTAAATTGCGAAGCATCCAAATGTCGTGAATTAGGTCCACGAAGCGCAATATGTTCAAAAAGGACAATTATTACTCATAATTTTAAAATACTCATATTTTCAAAGTACTCATATTTTCAAAATATTAATCATGACAATATTGGAATATCTATTTTTAATAAACAATTCCATTAAGAAAATTATTGCATTTTTACTTTCCCATATACGTACATAGGGAAAGTTATGTAATGCTGCCGTTTTGGGGTCCCGTGATACCCAAAAAGTGGTTCTTTTCCTAACATCCGTCTGTCTGTCTGTCCGCCTGCGAACACTACTAGGGCCTAAACCACAAATAGGATTTTTTTCCAAATTGAAGAAAACCCTGTCTACCTGGCTTGAGCTTTGATATTCTTCTGAAAAACATTCTTTAAAATTTCGGGCTACTTTAGATGAAGCTCTCAGGACATTTTCAAAATTTTCTCCAAAACGGCTCCAAATTTTCACTTTTTGGTATACATACATATACAGAGTATGGGGAAAGTTATGGAATGCTGTGTGAAGGAACGGCTTGAAGAAACCCCTGTCATTGTTGAAAGAGTCCAAACTCTGCGATTATGAAAAACATTAATTTTTGGGGGTGCTTTACATGACACCCCACGGGTATATTCAAAATTGCCTCAAAAACAGTTCCATTTTTTTCTTTAAATTTCTTGTAAGAATTGTAAGAATAGAGAAAAATTCACGTATAAAAGTGGCATAGGTAAGATGTACACTGATTACTCTAAATTTTCGATAATTGCAAATTTTTTTTATTTTTCAGCGGATTTTTCTGGTGGCACCATCTACTGGGTGCTTAAATGGGTTAAAACTAGGTTGATATTGAAATCAAAGTAGAGATTTAGCCTTTAAGACACTTTTCTTTTCTTTAATTTTTGATGACTATTACGGAAGTTATGATAATTTGAAATTCACCGAAAAATATCCACCAAAAACTGAACTTTCTTATCACATGTTTAATGTTCTCTGACAAGACAGATTGGATATATTAAGCGATTTTGCTGTCAGTAATTAAATCGCAGTCAATTTCTGTTTACTCAGGGACATGAAATCTACACAGCCAAATGCATTCTAGTTTGTTTAGCTAAGGTAATTAATTGTATTTTCGCATCATGTATATAATGTTCTTTGACAAAATAGGGTACTCTTAAAACAAATTGTAAATACTTTGCTGCCCTGTTGATCAAGTTGTAAAAGAACTATTTTATTGAGTTAATTTATGGGTAATTAATTATCAATTAAATTGAAAAAAAATTTGTGATAGTTTTAGTTATTTAAGGGAGTAAAAACCACAAATATTTAGTTACCTTGATATCAAGTTAGAAAAACACTGTGTTTCTTTTTTAATAAAGTACAATTAAATTATTTTTATGGTAATTAATTAGCAATTAAATAACAAAAAAAATGTCCACTAGGTTTCACTCGGTTTTGCTGTTAATGGCTTTGTAGTTCTATATACCTAAAATAATGTTCATTTAATTGCATTACATGTTCTAGTGATTTGCTTCACAATCATTGTGAAACACAGAGCAGAAAACAACTCTTGATATATTTCTAGAGATGGAATATCTCTCTGATTATATTCCAGTGTTTCATATACATCTTATGCCTTTTCGTAATAACATTTATGGAAATGCATTTTTTGGACTGGTATACAACATAATCTTCACTTAAATAATTGTGTTCACTACATTCTTTCATTAGACAAATTATTGTTTCATAAACTTTTTCTGACCAATTCATAAAAATAATTCTACATTTCGTTTGAAAAAGTACTGACAAGCTAGAAGAACAGACAGATTAAAGAACTTGCAAGCACAGATTACCTAATGACCCAATTATAAGATGGAAGATATTACAGATCTCATTATAATTATAAGGTTTCAATACCAAGGAAGTTTCAGAGTTCACATGTACAGCCTATGCCATAAACAATATGCATTAGTACTAAACTGACTTTTACATAAGTAGCAATTTTTGTAAATCAAAAATCTACCCTTAAAAATATGTTGAATCAACCTCCCATAATCAGGGCTGTGTTACTCATGACTAGAGCCCAGAAGTTTGGCAAAATCTGTTTGGTTTTTGTTACAATTTTATGAATTTTAACAACGGGAAATCATTCAACTGCACTTCTGGAGTTGTTTTAGTACAGTTTCATTTTGCCTTTTATTGTCCATTTTAGCTTCTGATACCTAGTCTTGCCATTTTGTCTTGTTTGGCTGTTTCTCTACTAGGAAACAGAACTCTCGGTGAAGAGGAATACAATGCAAGATTTTTACTTCGTAATGATGAACAAAAAATATTAATCTTTGAATAAAAGCTTTTTACACATCTAGTTAGGTGGCATAAAAACTCAAACTGACAAAATTCTGCCCTGAATAGTAATTAACCATTGTGTTATTTTTAATTACAATTAATGGTTTATTCTTGGAAATGAAAAGAGTTCATCTCTTTCAATAAAATTTAAACATTGAAAAACATTAGCTCACCAGGTCGAACAGTCATATCAAATTCCAAGACCTCTTCCAGCAAGGAGTTTTGGGGTCGATTTGTTGCTGCCACTTCACCCTTCAGTTGCCATGACTTATCTGCAAGAGCCTTCTCTTCCAATGACTTAATACGCTCCTTGAGACGTTCTTGACGTATTTCAAAAGTAGATTTAGTTCTTGTGGCATCATTATCCTCAATTCTCTTCTTACCATCAGTGTCAGATTCACTGTCAGTGCTGCTTGCCGGTGACATGTCAAACCTATAACATTTCCTTTAGTTTTAATCTAAATTTAACAAAGCAAGAAAGAGGGAGAAGAAGAAAGGAAAGAAGCATTAAACGGTAGACAGAGAAAAGTGATTCATGGAAAAAATAATAAATAAATAATAAGCCATTCTTTAAAATGATGGTGCACATCCAATCTGCTCCAAAAAGTAGTTGGCTACAATGGTAAATAGTATTCCTCAGATAAATGAACTAAAAAAAAATGTGAACAATAATTGTGACTCTAAATGATCTTTGTTATTATAGAAGATAAATTTTCCGGGCTAGTAGGCCGTGGTCCAGTTGGCATTAAAGGGCCAAACGTTTCGTTCACGTCTGCGGTGGACATCCTCAGTGGTGGCAGAGTCACGGGAGCAGTGTGCGAGGAGGCAGCTGGCTGGCGACTGGCGCCCGCAGATGCTTTGTTATTATGTTTAAGCAATTCGGAACAGACATCCCAGTCAGGATAGGCCACTTGAAATGACTTTTTGGAGGTCTTTGCAAGAATGCTGGTTTTTCTGAACAGCTTTAGACTTAGCACCTTTTCATTGTCCATGCATTGCCTGCCATTGATTCTGCTTTTTTTTTCAGTTCTAACTCTTACTTTAAATCTGCTATTAGAAACCAAAATAGCATTTCAAATGTCATTGAAAGTGAAGAGTGGTCTGGTGCAAGAGTGGTCTGGTTCCTTCACTTCAAAAAAGGCATTTAGCTCTTATAAAAAATGAAAAGAAAATGAAAAATAGCTAAACCAATAGAATGTAACGAGACTCAAAAAACTGAATCTGGAAACACTGGAACAAAGTAACCAAGAAGTTTTCAAAATCATAAGAGGAGTCTGGATGGAGGGTAAAGATAATGCATATTCTAGAGCAAAAGATGAGAAACTGAGAGGCCACTCCAAAAGATTATATAACAAGAAAACTAGAACAAACCACCACACACACACTTCTGTCTTGTGTAAGCAATATCTTATGTCTTCTGTAAGCAAATGGAACAGTTTACCTGCCTTCTGTGGTCACAAACTTAAAAGAGTAACACTAAGAGCTGTGTTAAATGGAAAGAAAAATTAATTATTTTTTCTTGAATTTAAACAAGTGTAAAAAATATTAGTGTTCTTGATTGAAAGAAATAAACTAATTTGCTTCAATGTATGGAGTAACACTAAAATGGGTGTAAAAATAAGATGACAGAAAATTCACTACTGTACCTAAACTTAACAATTAGCTCGTGTAAGTTTTTGTTTGTACTTGGTGCGTCGCCCTATGTTTGGCCATGGCCTACCAGTGACATCCTGGCCCCGCAGCCATGGACGGTGTAGATTTGCATGACAATGTTATTGCAAATTATAGGATATGAATAAGAGGCAAAAAAGGGTGGTGGCCCCTTTTTACAAATGGTATAGTTAGTGCTATTGTAAATGCCTGGAAAATGTCCACCTTAGCAACTGGAGCAAAGACAAGTCAAATTGAAGTCAGATCAGAAATTGTACTCGCCCTTCTCCAAAGGGAAGAAGTAAATGGTATTAATTTCTACCTGGGGCATTGTAACAAGAAAAGTTTGCCTGAAGATATAAAGAAAGAACTTGTTGGTCACGCAATAATTCGTGACGTATCTAATGCACATCGCAGATGTAAAATTTGCAAAAGTCAAACTATTTATAAATGTAAAAAGTGTCACGTTCATTTACATAATGAATGTTGCTCACTATATCATGAATAAACTTATTTTCATATATGCTAGGGTTTTATTGTGTATTACACTAAGAAAATTATATATTTTTTAGAATGTTGATCTGACTCATTCTTACTAGAGAACTCCCAACGTTGCGTGAACGCAACGTTCATTTCGGCAAAAACAAAAATCGCAAAAATATTTCGAGTGTATATTTACACTCTTTGGGAATGATTTATTAATATTACAGCAAGAAGTTTAAAAAAAAGGAGGTATTTCAATGCTTGGGAAGAAATGGGTTAATAATAAAATTATACTATTGTTGAAGATAAAATCTTGAAAAGAAATTTTCAAGTGGCTTAGTCTTTTGAAATCGTTTGTCTTGATGTTGCACTCAAAATCAAAAGATGTTTAAGTGTTTTGAAAATAAGACATGAAAACCATTCAAAATTCATTACTACTGGCAGGAAATGCTAAAAAAATAAAATATAGTGCTGAAGAGAAAAAGGGTTTCTATTAAAATACTGAAACTACCAAAGGCTGAAGCACAAAACTATACTGTGTATTCCTTCAAAAAAATCTTTAAAACAAAAAAAACTAATTATGAATAAATCTAAAAAAACACTAATTATGACAGAATAAATCATTGTTCCAACACAGATGTAAATTAACAAGTTGCTAACAAAGTGGAAATTGCTTTTTAAATTTCTCATTTACAAATACATGTTTGGTTTCTTATTGTTCGATTCAATTTATTTTTAAAATTCAACATTGTAGTTCAGTTATCTATTTCATTAATGAATATTCAGATAAAAACATTTCATAAAGTTTTTAATATTTATTTTAAAAATATCACGGGGATGAGAGTCCTAAGCCTTCTTATTTTGCTAACAGGGAAATCCAGCTCTGCATTTCATCTATACCTTGATTGGTTGATATTAACACCAGCAAAACAGTATTTTATAATTGCAACATATTTGAAGCCACTAAAAAGACTATTTCTTTCTGAATTGAATGCCCAGTCTGTAGCTCTACAGATTGAGGTGCTGATCTATGAAAATGAAAACATGAATCCTACCTCACTTGCTTCTCATTTTTAGGGTCAGAATTATCAACATAATTATCATCACCATCATTACACTCATTAATTAAAAATTCATCTTCCTCTTCTTCATCTCCATCCTCCACATCTACATTATCTCTTTTACGTTTCTTACTTATCGGCTGACTTCCTTGATCTTCTGGAGCATCAAAAAACTCATCATATCGGGGCCCTCCTTCTTCTCTCTAAAAGAAACATTTATAATATAACATACAATATCACATACACTCAGAAGCAGCAAATGACCTCTCAAGCAAAAAAATTCAGTTAAACCTGTTTTAGCATGATTGCTGAAAAGGCTGATGTCTACAATACAGTACAACTTAAGGAAGTCGTTTAAACTGGCACTTCGCGTTTTGGCTGGCTTTGTGTTTTTGTCCACTTGATTTTCCGTGTAAGGTAGCTGTCGAAGTGATTAGCTATGTTGCTGTCGTACAGTTTCTTGCGTTCTTCCGATTCTTTGTTATTTGTGTTTTTGAGTGCTGAGTGTCTGTGCTACGATGTTGAGAATAAATGTGGCTCTTTTAACACGTTGTGCCAAAGGGGGTGTTTGGCTGTCATTGAAAGGGCACAAGAATATGGTTTGATTGCTGCAGGATTTAAGTGTGCTGTATGTAAGTGACCTATGAGGCTGGTTGAGCAAAAGAAGTTGTGTGATGGTTTTAAGTGGAAGTGTAGCAATAACCAGGCCACTCCTCATGTGCATAAGTGTTCCATGCAGAAGGGGTCATGGTTTGAAGGTCACAAGTTGAGTGTGATTCAGGTATTATTCACTTCTATCAGAGAGCTTAGCGTAATTTGAGGGAGGGCTTAAGGAGATTCCTCCCTCCCCCCCACCCGCTCCTCTAAGGATGTATCTTGTATCCTACTGTGTACCCTACTTTAACCGCTAAAAGTTAAGGGCCAGTCCATTTCCTAAACTCATTGGTGTAAGGGGAGTGTATCACTTCACATTTGAGTGTGAGGAATCTCTGTGAAGGTCTTGTAAATTACAGCAAATGATTATTGTGATGTTTCCAGTTCAGAGCAAGTCCCAAAAGAAACTAATTCGCAATTATATGTGAGAAGTTGCAAAAGTGTATAAATATTTGAAGAGAGAACCTGAGGAATGCATTAAATACATCAAAGTAGTTCTTAAGCAAGAAGCTACTATGACTATTTTGGAAAAATCCATTCTCAGAATTAATAAGGAAATGAATGCTATTACATTGGGAGAATCATGTTCATTTTTTACTCCTATTAAAGAGAGGAAGAACGTGAACTCTGTTCTCAACAGTTTCAATGAGAGTTATTTGCCATTCAGCAAACTATTTCTACATCACTGACAAATCAAGAGTAACTCTCAAAACAATTTGAATGAAAATAAGAATTTGGTGATGCGGTCAACTAATGTTTTTGGTACAGGGAGATGAGCCAAATGCAAGCCATTGTTGCCACCCAGTTCTCCCCAATCACTTTCAGCTTCCTCCTACACTCATGAATTCAAGCAGCCACGCTCCTAACAAACTCAGACTGCAAAGGTAAAGATTGACACTACCATGCAGACATACTGAGTCATTACAAATACTTATTTAATAATATGTATAGTTTAGGGGACATAAAAGCAATAGTGACACAACTTTAATCAGTTGGCCCAACAGAGTACATTTCCAAAAGCATATCATAGGGAAAAATCAAATTATAAATTATGCCATTCTAATAGTATCTACTGTCCTATAAAAATGTTTGGAGAGTACAAGTGTATTTCATACACCCAAAAGTAATTTATCATCAGAAACATGCAAAGAACATTTTTATATTTCTTGTGCTTATGTTTCCTTTCTTTTCTATGCCAATATTTTACCAATGTGTATGGTTTTATAACCAAGAATCCTATAATACCTCATTTTCATCTGAAGGAATGTCCTCAAAGAGGTCAACAGAAACATCAGATTCATTACTATCACTAGTATCCGTTCTTTTCCTTTTATGCTTTTTGTTCTCCTTCCTATCTTCTTTGTCCAGAAATTCTTCAAGCTGTGTAAGCTTAAAAAATTGATCATCAACAACAGAAGGTTGTATTTTACATGTTGATACTTCTAGAACAAGACAAAACAATACATATAAGGTACACATTCTACTACAAAATGTAAATGATTTTTAAAAATTACCTTTTTTAATCTTTTCAGGTCTTTCTTTTTCTTGCCAAGAACCTTTGTTATAAATGCCTAAGTTATCTTCACCCTCATTTTCATCATCTTCACTCTCAAACATATTGTCAGTTTCTTTTGAAATATTTCCCTCATCTTCAAGCTGAAAATACAATCTATCTCTGGATGCAAGCAACCGAGGTATGTCTGATATAAACTTTGCATATTTAGCTGAATTTTGTAATTCCAATTCTTGCCAGATCTGCTCATCATCAAAGTCTTTAATAACCAATTTGGGAAGAGCGTTTTGATTTTGGTCTGAATCTTCTTGATTTTTAGTAAAATCATACACAGTTTTAAGTAGGTCCTTTACTTCTTCAGCTACTTTGTTTTGAGTCCTAATTAAACACACAAATATTGTATTAGAAGCATTAAAAAGCACATAACCTCCTTCAACCGCGAATTACACTTACTGCAGATAACGTTCGGGGTGTTTTGTTAAGCGTTTAAATGTGTCCACCGTGCCTGACAGCATTTTCGTTTATGGGCAGTGCAAATCAATTAGGCAAAATGACATTACATATCCTCCCATACACACATAAATGCAGCATTCGTCGCATAAACGTTATCACCCACGTTTCCTACACATGTTTCATGTTTACACGCAGTTTACACTCTGGTTTACACGATCAAAGAGTATAGTCTTAATCTGATTTCAACCATAATAATACTCTTTGATTTCTACTGAGTTTCCACCATAGAGGAGAGATCTCTCCTCTATGGTTTCCACAACGAATAAACTGGAATATACGAAATATATATTTTACTCTTTGAACAAATAATAAAGAGAACATGAATACTCCAATACCAATATTAGTTGTAGATTAAAATTAGTTTTTAAATCTTCTTTTTTGCAGTAATATTAATCAGAGTTTCTCTCAAAAACATAACACATTTACGAATATTGTCTCGATTTTTAGTAAAAGTACATGATTAAATTAATGGATTTCAAGTAAGAATGTTCTACAAAATGTTGCAAATGACATCTCGAAATTATTTGCAATTGATATTGCAGCCACAGTATAACGTGTTGCAGCATGCAATCCATTCAGTTTCTTCACTGGTTGCGCACGAGTTATCTCTAGTTCCTTGTGCACAACCAGATATCAACCGCGCACGTTTTATTGAGTCCTCACTTCGCTACATGCGAGAGGAGTGGGGAGTTTGGTTATTTTGACAAAAGGAATTTTACATCGAATTTGTAGTACATTTTTCCATGCAAAATACGTTTTAATACACGGGAGCGAACATTCCTCCTCATCAGATTTTGTCACCAACACTCACTGCTATCATTTATTCTTAATACAACTAATGTTGGGAAAGGAGTTTATTTCCGAAACTTCTGAGATCCTGAGAATAGTCAGTAAAGTAAAAAATAAATATTCATCTGATTAAGAGGATTGTTTATTGAAAACTTGAGTACCTGCCTGTATACACCCGTTAACTTGCATTTTCAATGCTTCTTTATGAACAGAAACTTTTCCAAATATTTTCAAAACAGCAAAATTAAGCCACTTTTTAAAAAAGAGAACAAAAACGAAATTGAAAATTACCAACCAATTTTTCTTTAGTCAGATTTCTCAAAAATAAAGGAAGGACGAACGTTTTCCTCAGGAGAAACAAAACGTTTTCAACACGGGTTTAGAAAATAAAAATCTACAGGAACTGCTACCTCGTACCTTAAAATTCGATCTCAAAGAGTAGAAATACCGTACTGGTACTAAAGGACATTATTTACCAATTGAATATGGGGTCCCGCAAGACTCGATCTTAGGTCATATCCTCTTTCTGTTAAATGTAAACGATATATTAATGTTACCCTCTCCATTAAAAACGGGAAAACTGTTCTGTTTGCCGATGACACGAATGTTCTTTACGAAAAAGAAACAATAAATAGTACGATTTCAGAAGTTTCAAATTGGTTTTGTAATGACAAATTAATAGTTGACGAAGGAAAAACAGTTTCAATGCATTTTGCATTTCAAATCAGCTATCGCATTCTCTAGTGAAAAATGAACAATATGCAATTAACTGATGTTCAGGTAACAAAATGTCTAGGTCTAAAAATTCAGTTAAACCTCAAATGGGATGTACATATAACAGAATTAAACCCTAAATTAAGTTAATTATGTTACGCATTTAGAATTCTTTCAAATTCTGTCAGCATTCATGCAGCTCGTTGCGTGTATTTTGTAAATTTGCATTCCCGTCTTAGATATGGCATAATATTCTGGGTAAACATCATGTAGTACTCGGGTCTTTAGATTGCAAAAGAAAATTAGTCGAATAATGAAATAATACCACCCGCGTGATCACAGCAAACCTCTCTTCATTGAGCTTGGAATCTTACCGCTGCTTTGTCTATTTATTTAGGAATTTGTAATATTTGTCAAAACTGACTTACTTAACAGTAGGAACATCTTTTCATGCAATACTGATATTTATAATTACAACACACATCGTAGAAATCACGTTCGTCATATGTTAGTATCAACAGCTCACTATCAGAAATCCACATACAATACATGTACGTTACTTTACAACGCATTGCCAGTTACATTTGGTTATATTTTGTTTTTTAGCTGCATTGAAATTGTGTAATATTAGTGTGGCACATGATGATCACCAGAATTTATTATTTTACATAACATGATTAGTTTTCATGCATATTGTTTTTTGTACAGTGTATTTTATGTATTTTGCAAATAAAAATTATTTATATGAAATATTTTCACTTGCATCATTACAATTTTATTTACAACATACCTCACAATTATAAATCCTTTCAGACTGACGACTTCTACATTATCTTACGCATTAATTTCACGTAAATAAATTCTTATTACTGCCGATTGGAAAATTGTAGATAAAGAAATTTCATCAAATGCCCGGGTAACGTCTGCCCTCCATTTCAATTGGTAGATCGTTTTCGCACGCTTATTGTGGATGGCGAGGCATGAATGGATACTTCATTCTGATTCGTTGCTTCCGTCGGAGTGGGAGGTCGGCTTCTCCCCTCCATGAAAATAAGGAGCTTCAGAATACATTGATGCGACTCTGAAATATACTCTCTGGCCTGGCCTGGTCGTGCCCCCGGCGCGACAGAAAGCCATAACAATCGGGGTGAGCAACGGCGCAGAAGG